CCAAAGTCAGTGGGGAAGCTGGCAGGAAGTTGCAAGCCCCAGGCAGCTTGCAAGCAGGCCAGCAGGCAGGTAAGTGGCTGCTGCTGGATAGAAGAGGGAGTGAGTGGGTGTGTGGGTGACCGGAGAGGTGCAGTGTGAGCGGGGCGGGGCTTGGGGAGGCTGCTGCTGGGTGAGGGGAGGTTTGTGAGGGTGTGTGAGTAGTGGGGGAGGCACAGCACAAGCATAGTGAGGCTCAGAGAAGATGCATGAGTGGTCAGGAAGGGTGTATGAATGGCTAGGGAGAGTGTGTGAGTGGCCGGTGAGGTGTAACACAAGCACCCTGGGGCTGGAGACGGTGTGCAGATGGGGGAGATTTATCCAAGCAACTTGCGACCTTACCTCCCAGCTTCCCCACTGACTTTGCTTGTGGGAAGCCAGCAGGGAAGATCACAAATCACAATTCCATGACTGTGGGACGCTGCAACTGTCGTAAGTGCAAGCCAGTTGCCAAGTGCCCAGAACGCAATCACATGATTGTGGGGATTCTGGGATGGTTGGAACTTCGAGGACTGGTCACAACCACTACTTGTTCAGCACTGTCATACAAGCAGTCACTGAACGAGTGGTCATTAACTGAGGACTACCTGCATACATAAAGCACAATTGCCTCAAGGGAACAATGAAAATAACAATATCCCGCATCACCCCCAACTTAGAATGGCCCACCAGACACCCTACCCAAAGACCTGAGGGAAGAGCCATGTTTTGGGGGCTTGCTTGAAGGTGGGTATGTGGGGCTGAGTGAATCTCTGGGAGGGATGCTGTCCCAGAGAGCAGGTGCTGAGGGCCTCCTTCCTAGGTACCAATAGATGATATTGCTTAATTGATGGGATCTGAAGCAAGCCAATTCTGTTTAATTACCCAGGACAGGCACATAATACAGGAAACAGAGGATCTCTCAGATAGCTAGGCCCTATGCCAGGTAGGGCTTTATAAGTAATAACCAGCACTTTGAACTGCAGCCAGAAGCATACCAGTAACCAGTGCAGCTTACGAAGCAGAGGTGATACATGGGCATAGCAAGGCCTGCCCATCATTGCTCATGTTGCTGCATTCATGACCAGCTGTAGCATCTAAGTGGTCTTTAAGGGCAGCCCCCTGTAGACCATGTTGCAATAGTCTACTCACAAGGTGACTAAGGCATATGTGACTGTAAGGTGAGCCTCTCAATCCAGGAATGGGAGCAACTGGCACACAAGTTGGATTTGTGCAGAGGCCTTCCTGGGCTCAAATGTCACCTGCTCCTCAAGCAGGATCTCAAAGTCCAGGAACACCCCCATATTGCTCACTATTTCCAAATGGGGGAATGCTATCCCATTTAGGACCAAGAATGAAAAATCCCAGAACCAAGAGATCCAAACACCTGCTAACACTTGGTCTTGCTAAAGTTAAGCCAGAGCTGTTTTTCCCCCATCCAGATCGCATCAATCTCTCAGTATACTGAGTCAAGTCCTTGACAGCATCACTTGGCCAGAGATCAAGATATATAACTGAGTATCATCTGCTTACTGATGATACCTGACCCCAAACCAATGAATGAGCTCCCCCAGTGGCTTCTTACAGATATTAAACAGGAGGGGTGAGAATGTCAAACTCTGTGGCACCCCACAAAGTAGGGGCTTCAGACTTAACCCCCCCCCCACAACACAGCCTGGAATCAGCTGTGGAGAAAGGAGAAGAACCACTTCAACACTGTTCCTCCCACTCCTGTTCCCTACAGCTTGTCCAGAAGGATACCATGGTCAGTTTTAAAAACACTATGGAGGGCTGGAGGTGGTTAGTACTGGAATGGAAGTCCTCAAAGAAATCCCAGGGCTGTAAGTTAGGTTGGAAGATAAAAATCAAAGCAAAACTGACAAAAGGCAATGGTAAACCACTTCTGTAATGTTGCCAATAAACCATATAGACATGCCCATGTAATCCCTAGAAATCAAGTTCAGCTCAAGATGGTTTTCCTTTTCCCAGGATTAAAACTTGTAAGGAGACAGAAGCCAAGAGAAATACCTGGTGGCTGGGTAGAGGCACCCAATAATTCGGGGCAACTGGCCACAGTTGAACTTTTAAAAACCTCTCATTGGGTAGCCTCACAGATGATTGCTAGTGGAGTTGACCAATCACAAAATGGCTGCAATAATGGGCATAACCATTCACAAAATTTTGATTTTGCAGAAGTCTAACTGGTGAAGATACTCTCCATCACTCTCTCTATACTTCACAGAGATACTTATAGCATACCCATTTCTCTTTTGCTTTGTTGTGGAGGCAGTGGACACACCTTCCAACAAAGCAATAGGCTCTCATTACTTACCATCTTTTATTTTGAAAATTTAGCCCCAGATTCTTGAAATAGAGTTTGCTCAATAATGGAGTTCTGCAGCATACCAGCTTTCAACCTCTAAAATAATTTAGCAATAGGGAGTGTGGCAGAAGGCTCACTAGTGTTCACAAGCACCTAGGCTACTTAAGGGAAAAATAAAATTTGAATATAAAACACTATGGAGATGCAATATTTCTGAACTTGGTATCACATGTTCTCTGCCTGCATTTGAAAACAAGAGCCAAATAATGCCCAATTAAAACATTTGGAGCTGAAAGTATAAAATACCTGGCTCACTGCAGATGGGGTAGCACAGTTCTTTCGGTAACACGCCAACATGCGAGCTGTTTGATTCACCAGGATCTCACGGACAGTCTTCAAGGGCTGGCTGAGAATGGCTTTATAAGCTATAATGATATGAAGGAGTGATAAAAAGATATTTCTTAGGTTACCCATTATGTCTTTTCACAGAAGAAAACAATTCAGACTTCACGTATTAAAAAAAAAAAGGTTTCATTTAATATACGCTTTCTAAACATAGTATAGAACTAGAATGTGAGCTTATTAGTTTTAAATTATGAACTGTGTGAAAATGATTCACCTCGCATCACCACACTCCTGCTCCAATGCTGTCATAGTGACTTAACAAGAGTGATCCTCTATTAATATTACTATGGTAAACAGAAATTCTGAACTAAAAGTACAAACTTGTGATTTATCCAGGGACTTAAATTATATATATTAAAAGCATTCAGTAAATGCTCAGTGTTTACAGTCAATCTCTTATGTCAATTTCTGATATGTCTGTGACAGGAATTGATTATTCCTGATTTATAATTCCACGTGTTTTAGCATATGTTAAATGTCCATCATCACTTTCCAGCCTCTCTTCCCACTCCCAAACCATGCATTATAAACTTACCTGATTTTGCAAAGAAATTTACTAGGGCATCAGTCTCACAGCTCTTGTAGACATCAGCTAACTGGGAACTACAGTTGAGTCCAAGGTTATGTACGCGCAGACGTCTTTGACCAGTCATGGATGTATAAAGGACTGCACACTGCAATGACAAAGACAAGGTGATAGGTAACTTGAAATTGTTTTACTTGCATTTGCTATGAAAGTGTTTCAACTTGCTTTTAAAACAGTATTTTGGGATGGTGACTTAAAATTATTTATTATTTTATTTTAATTAATTAATTAATTAATTAATTAATTATATGAATGTATATAGCCACCCATCTCACCATTGCAACTTTGGGTGGCACACATAGGGTTAAAACCTAGGATAGCACTGTAATAGAGTAAAATGTGAAATGTTACAAGTAGAAAAATTCAGATGGAGTTTTACTTTCTTCTTTTGTATACAAACCCAGATGAACTAAGACATAACAACACATTATAATGAGTTCGACCAAGGTCCGTTTTAAGCCAGTATGGTTCATTCTGACCACTCGTTGACTTCCAAGGTTCTACGTACAGGTCCTTCCCAGCTCTACAATTAGACATGCCAGGGATTTAACTATTTTCTTATTCACATGTACCCTACCACTCAAAATTATATAACTAAAGCTCATGAATTGCAATAAATTTGATTTTTTGCCATGTGGCAGTTTTCCCAGATTTACAAAATTATATGTCCCCTTTAAAAATATTAAGGACTTTTCATGACTTACACCCACTTATTTTAATTTACCTGACTCTGTCCCTTATTCCCAGGAAAAGCACCAATCACTTGCTTTGGCATGTTGGAGCTTGAAATAAGGGTATATTTTACTAAGGAATGATGCTTCCTTTACCAAGGATCACTATTTACTACCCTTACATGAGGATTTCTGACATTTCAAGGTATACAAATAACTATAATAGTAGAAAAATGTTGAGGTAATTTTGGAACTCATTTATAATCTGCAGGAAAAAAGAATGCAGTCTTGACAAAAAACAAAAGTCTTCACTACAAATGATGGTTTACAGGTTACTTATGTTTTAAAGAAAAGGCAGTCTTCATCATTTTAAAATCAAAAAGCTTGGAAAACTATAACCAGTAACAAATTAGGATGTTAAAAAGGCCCACTTACAGTTGCCTTCAATGCTGCTGTATTCGGCTGAAAATTTTAATAAATAAATAAATAAAAAGATACTAAGAAAAAAACTAAGACAGCATCTGCTTGTCTGAAGCAGGAGATGACTGAAAGTAGATGGGAACTTCTTTTCCTTATTGTGATGAAGATTCATAATCTTGTCACAAGCAACTAAACTTCAGTATACTTTCTGCTAGGAAAGCAGAAGAGGGCTGCATGAAGAAAGCAGCTAGTTGTATCGACTGTCATCGGCCACGCAGAATGCGTGATCCAATGAAAATTCCACTGTTGCATTCAGCAGATGTCACTCACAGTAAAGGGAGCCAGAATTTCCCTGAGAGAAATCACTGATCATATGTTAGGGAAGTCATATGGCACTACAAGATGCACAACACTGCCTGTACGTATTAATTGTGCATACTGATGTACTGATCACCCAGAAAGACGCCAAAATGGCACGTGACCCAGGAACTTCTTACCTGGATTAAAGCCCCACCATCTTCACTCAGTTTATCATCATGCTTGAACTCCACAGTCACGGCTTTGTCACAGTCTATTGCTGCCAGCTCAACATCTGTGGTGTTGTTCATGAAAATAGCTCCCAGGAAGTCTGTTGCTCTAAAACCTAGGGAAGATTTAAAACGACTAAGTTGTACAGTTAATAACAGCCACCAGCACCATTTTTGCAATAGGTAAGATAGCTGATAGCCCTACTCACCCACCCAGTGCCATTCTTAGTACCAGTCTGAATCCTATTTAATGTGGGAAGCTGATCCATTATAGAGTCAATACCACAAGCACCATGGTCACTAGAAATATTAACCCAAAACCAGCAAAAAGTCCCATTATTTCTAGCTGAAGCAGTAATGTGGAAACTTACTTTCAAAAAGAGAACTGTGCTTGAAATTAAGACTGATGATCATATATTTTTTTTTTCCAAATGATCCACTATAATTATCCCAACAATGATGGATTTATTTCGGCCTATGTAATTGAAAGTTTCAGTAAAAAACCTGGGTGGTTTCTCATCTAAAAACCAAGACAAATCCAGAATGCATTTGGAATGATTGGACAGATTTTACATCAAGGTTTACTAATTCCCAATGCCTCACAATTTATTCCTGTAAATATTAAAACTATCTCTTTATATAAAACAAACAAACCAATCAACTTCTGTAATAATAATTGTTACCTGTGCTAGTTCGAACTCTCATAATAGCATCAAAGCCCACTTTTTTTTCTATATCCTTCCTCAGGTCATTCAGAAACTGATGACTATCAGAATGTATCTAAACCAAAACAAGAGATTGAGACAAACGTGACTAAACAGTGTCTGCCACTGGATGGCAGCAGTGCAACATAAATTGTTTCAGGATGTAACTGTAAGGAATTAATAGCACTAAATCACTTCTTTAATAAAGAATTTGGTTAATACTTGCAGGACTTCACGCTCTCACATGGTCATGCAAATTAAAAGAAAAATCAACTACATGGAAAAAAAAATACAATGCTAGTAAAGAAAACCCATTCTTTCAAAATGGATTGATGAAAAAGAACAGATATTTAGAAAATAGCCTACCCTTCTATTTAAAAAAACAACCAAAACTAGAGTAAGCATGCATTTTATGTTAGGAGTTTGCTACACATTATATGTTCCCAATTTAACAAAATAATTGTTTTTCATGATCTTCCAAGATCATGCTGCGGATTGTCATCTTAAACATAGGCAACAGATGGGAATGGGAAAAGAACAGCGTGACTTACAGTGGGGCAAAAAAGTATTTAGTCAGCCACCAATTGTGCAAGTTCTCCCACTTAAAAAGATGAGAGAGGCCTGTAATTTTCATCATAGGTATACCTCAACTATGAGAGACAAAAAGAGGAAAAAAAATCCAGAAAATCACATTGTCTGATTTTTAAAGAATTTATTTGCAAATCATGGGGAAAATCCAGAAAATCACATTGTCTGATTTTTAAAGAATTTATTTGCAAATCATGGGGAAAATCCAGAAAATCACATTGTCTGATTTTTAAAGAATTTATTTGCAAATCATGGGGAAAATCCAGAAAATCACATTGTCTGATTTTTAAAGAATTTATTTGCAAATCATGGGGAAAATCCAGAAAATCACATTGTCTGATTTTTAAAGAATTTATTTGCAAATCATGGGGAAAATCCAGAAAATCACATTGTCTGATTTTTAAAGAATTTATTTGCAAATCATGGGGAAAATCCAGAAAATCACATTGTCTGATTTTTAAAGAATTTATTTGCAAATCATGGGGAAAATCCAGAAAATCACATTGTCTGATTTTTAAAGAATTTATTTGCAAATCATGGGGAAAATCCAGAAAATCACATTGTCTGATTTTTAAAGAATTTATTTGCAAATCATGGGGAAAATCCAGAAAATCACATTGTCTGATTTTTAAAGAATTTATTTGCAAATCATGGGGAAAATCCAGAAAATCACATTGTCTGATTTTTAAAGAATTTATTTGCAAATCATGGGGAAAATCCAGAAAATCACATTGTCTGATTTTTAAAGAATTTATTTGCAAATCATGGTGGAAAATAAGTATTTGGTCACCTACAAACAAGCAAGATGTCTGGATGATTTGCAAATAAATTCTTTAAAAATCAGACAATGTGATTTTCTGGATTTTTTTTCCTCTTTTTGTCTCTCATAGTTGAGGTATACCTATGATGAAAATTACAGGCCTCTCTCATCTTTTTAAGTGGGAGAACTTGCACAATTGGTGGCTGACTAAATACTTTTTTGCCCCACTGTATATTCATTTAATGTCAGGAAAAGGACCAGAATACTACTAAACATAAATAAGCAAAGACAGACATAATTCATATAGTTCTTTATCCTATTTGGAATGGAGAAGAAAATCAGATTAAAATTTTAGTTCTGATCATATACACGGCTGCTAGACAAAGTTTTTTCCTCACTTCACTACTAGAGAAATATGAATTGCATCCTTCATTATTTGTTCCTATAAGTGCTCAAGACTTGTCATATATTTTTTTTCCCATACAACAACCCTGTGAGATAGTTTGAGCTAAATGACTGTGTCCTGTCAAATTTTCAACCCTAATCCTCTGACTGAAGGTAGACTTGGACCTTTAACCCCCTGGTCCTTGTCCAACACCTTAATCACTGCACCACATTTTCAGAGGTCTTATCATAAAGTTTCCTGATGGCCAAATAACACATTATGCTTATCATACTGTTGATGAGTGGCTCTCCTGATCTGTATTTCCCATCAGACTCAGCTAAAATGGTCAGTGTTGAGGACTGCTGTTGAGGATTGAAGTTGGATGTGAAGGTTATTATCTAGTGGGAAGTCCTCCAGAACAATATCCAAAGAAAGATTTTGGGCCTTCCTGTGCCTGTCGAAGATGGAGGTGGGATATCCTACAATCTCTAACAGAGAATTCACACTACATTTATAAAAATCATCAATTGATTTGCTATGTATGGACCACTATTTTTGGGACCGCTACATAAGCTTGTTGTTGGCAAATCGTCATCAGGTGATATAATAATGCTTGTGACTCCTTTATCCACAATGTATGCATCCCAGTTTCTAAATAAATAGATAAAGTTAAAAATGCACTGAAATCTTGCAAACTTGACAAAATTTAATGAGATTTCAAGAAAGAACAAATTTTCGGCTATTTCAATTGTTTATGTTATTTTGACAGCTGTTCCATAAACCATCTACAATATTGTCAGAGTGATCTACTAACCCCAGGTTGCAAAGGAGCTTTTGTCAGTTACCTGAAAATTGTTGTACTTGTACAGTGTTCCTCCAGTATGCAAAGTCACAAGGCCCATGGAAGCTATATCTGCATACTGGTTTGGGAAAAGGAACAAATCTACACAACAGCCGTTAGCAACACAGTCTTTGGCCAAGGCCTCGTAAGTATTTGTCTGGGGCTGAAACAGCATCTGCAGAATGTAAAGTAAGCATTCTAAGTAACTGGCAAACAAAAGAACAAGATTTCGCCATGAATAAAGAGGCAAACAAAAAAGTAAATGCAATTAAAATATAGTTTTAAGAGTTAAACAATTTTCACCAGCACAGGTATCAAACACAAAGGCAGCTGCATGTTTTCTTGAAAAGGATATATAATCTGTTTTCAGGTACTAATCAAATATCTTAATGTACTGAGAAAGAATTGTACAGTTTGCACTGATATGTTCATTAACTGGTACAGACAGTCCTCATTTACCGATGGTCATTGGGACTGGAAACCGTCACTAAGCAACGTGGTCATAAGGCGCAATGTTATGACAGCGGTTTTGGCAGTCCCACTTGCCATCATTGGGTGAATCCCATGTAGTTGCAGCATCCTGTGGTCACATGATCGCCATTTGCAACCTCCTGCCGGCTTCCTCATTAACTTTGCTTATTCGAAGCCGGCAGTGAAGGTCACAAATGGCGATCGTGTGAACTCATGACGTTGATTCTTTGTATTTAGTACATATGTATTTTATTACAGTATTTTCTTTTACCTATTTTATCTTGAAATAGACCTTGTATTTTGCCTTTGTTTTATTTTATTTTATTTTTGATATGGTCCTAAGAATAATCAAACAATAAACTATCTATCTTAGTTAACAAGATACATATAACCGGCTATGCCCAAATGAATAATCCACACTATGTTCCTAACCTGATAGTCTAGTTCATAAAATGTTATGACCAATGGCTGGGTTAATATGACATGCTGAACCACAAGTTACTCATCCCCATTTTAACCTAGTCTTATCAGCTAAATGAGAGAAGCCGTCATTCCACCCCCATAAGAATGTTTCCAAAATTCTCTTCTCTTTTGAAATAATTTCTAAAGCTAATTTTACTCCATCAAACTGAATAAAAACTAGCAGAAAAACAATGCAAAGTAATTTCTATGCTTGACAGCAATACATCCCAAAGCAGAGTTAAAACATATTAATTAATGCTGAAGGTTCATATCGCAGCTTTCTATTCACTACTACTACTTAATACTACTGCTACTTTTATCCATTCGTTTTATTAATTCATATTCATTTTATTATTTATTCTATTTTTGTTCAGAGCCGTTTTCATAGTTTGTCATCACTGCTAACTGGATGAGTTGCAAACAATGGCAGCTTCCCACAGAGTTTGTGTCAGTGCTACTAGGTCAGAATGCCTCAATAGTGAAAGCATCTTCTGACTACAACTGTCTCTGCTATACTGAGAATTAAACTGGCTACATTAACCTAAATTCAATTTGTAAAACTTTTATTGGCAAAAAAAACAATTACAGATGAACTTAGTAAAAATGAACTGCAGCAAACATAACCACGTTTACTCTTTTATGCGGCAAGTTGTAGAATAATTCCTTTGTTTAATAGATGAACTGCAGCAAACATAACCACGTTTACTCTTTTATGCGGCAAGTTGTAGAATAATTCCTTTGTTTAATAGATGAACTGCAGCAAACATAACCACGTTTACTCTTTTATGCGGCAAGTTGTAGAATAATTCCTTTGTTTAATAGATGAACTGCAGCAAACATAACCACGTTTACTCTTTTATGCGGCAAGTTGTAGAATAATTCCTTTGTTTAATGAATACCTTCTCTTTTTCTGTATTGACCAATTTTCTGTCATCTCTGTTCTTCAGCTTCCCTGGTGCCTCTGCAGTTGGCAATGAAGAGTGGAAGATAAACAGTTTTCCAGTGCACTCCGCTGCCTGTAACAAAAATAGAAAAGAAAAAAAAGAAAAAAACAAAAATGACCTTTATTCTCCCGCAGATATAAACTTCTGAGATAAAGCCTTATACAGTTCTGTTATTCCAGTATAAACTCTCAGAGACTTTATAAACTAAATACTCCATTTGTTTAGAGCTTGAACTTCATTTGATACCCTAATACTTCTCCCACCAACCAAAAAAAAAAAAAAAATTGAAAATTGAAACCTAGTATCTACAAAAAAATCTAACATAGTAGTATTTAGGTCATGGATATACTTAAATCTCTCTCTCTCTCTTTCTCTTTCTCTCTCTCTCTCTCTCTCTGTGTCTGTGTGTGTCTGTGTGTGTGTGTGTACACGTGTCTTTGTATTAACAGGCACATCAGGAAAGTTGAGATTGTCCATCCGCAAAGTTTAATCCAGTTAATTACAGTGAACGACTTTAGAACTTGGGGGCCCTGAAGTGCCCATTAGGGACAATCCTTCAGCTCAAGACTCAGCGTCATGAATAGGGGAAGGAGATAATATGACAGATTCTCTGTACAAGTACAGCAATACAGGGTTTGTAGCATTAATTTCACTCATGTTCATAATGCTGTTGGCAATAGAGAAAATGATTCCATATGGAACACAGTGTTGACCAGAGTGTGGAAAAACAGCATGGGTTTATCTAAAGATTGTTAGAATGGACATACAAGTTTAAACATCTTGATAACGAAACTAGCCAAAACACATCACTAAAATAACAAAGTTTATTCAACTGCACTTTACAGTTATACTTTAGGGCTACCTAGAAGGCCCAAGTCAGGAAACAGAAGAGTTTCGAGGCAGACCAGGTCAGGAAACACAAGAGTCAATGGGACTCTCTTGTTGTAGGAGTAATAATGGAATCTTGAAAGCCCTACCAAATTTTCTTCTGTCCTCTCATACACTATTCAGAATCACAGACTTATTTTAAACCTGTTTCTTAAACTTACTACTTTCCCAGGGCTGAGATTTCTTGAACAGTTTCTTTTATCAATTAACAGCTCTTGAGTTTCTTCACCAATGTTCACTCTGACTCACTTTACAGATGGCCACACTTGGATTAAATAGAGAAGCAAAAAAAGTTTCCACAATATTTATTTTATTTCAGAGATATCTTCCTAAAATACCCGGAATACACAGACATCTACTATCCATCACTAATTATCAGTGTTTACTTGGTTCTTTCATGTTATTCACAGAACTAGAAAGAAGCCTAGTCTTGAGGCAATCTGAATTTTTCATATAAATGTCCACTGAATCTTATTAAGGATTGAGATGCTGATTTTTTAAATATTAAAAATCCATAAAATGTATGATGTAGTAATTTTGTCTAAGTCATCATTACACTCTAGGTAATCAAAGGTTTCACATCAGAAAAACAAAAGAAATGGAGGTATCATGAAATATATGTAATCACTTGGGAGAGAGGGCAGTTAAATTTGCATCAACCCTTCTCACATGTCAATTCTGCATTTGTCACAGAAGCAGTACGATTATTGTGTGTGTCCATACACACACACCATTACTTTACCCGTCCACCCCTGAGTTCCAATCATTTGTTATGTGTATGTGTATGACAGGAAGCCTATCTTATACTTAGTCCCTCTATGAGCAGTTTAAATTGTAATTTTTTACTCCACCACCACACCATTTCAGACAGACCAATTATTATTTAAACATCAAATTGCTCTTCCTAGGAAGATGATAAAATACAAACATGCTGTGATCATCTGATTTATGTAGCAAGGCATGCGTTATTGAATTTGTTCACAGTTGGCATTGTGAGGGAAAAAAGCAAAGGAAAATAAATGCAGAGACTATAAGTCTGCTGAGCCATTGATATCACTTTCATGGTAAATACACAAACACACACACACACACACACACACCCCATTCCAGATGGATCCTCCTTTGAAGTTATGATGTATTCAATATATGGAGTATGGTTTTAATTTTCTTGTGTATGTGCTTCCAGCACTCTTGTTCATTTCTTTTAGACACAGTTGATGCCATTTGTCATTTATCTAATTTATATGACTAAATGCATTTTCCTTAAAATTAAATGTATGTATGTGTGGATCTCTGTCCACAGATATGTGACTATTTTTAATATAAAACCAATATATCCATACTTAAATACATACATTCTAATTAAGAATGACCTAGAATTATTACTTCCAAAATTAGATTCCATCAGGACAACAAATAAACCACATGCTATTTTTAGATATAGAAGCAGCTGCCTTTTTAATCAGATCATTGCTCCATCTAATTGAGCATTGTCTTGATCAGCAGTGGCTCTTCAGTTCTCCAGAAATCCTTTCCAGTCTTGAGACACCAAAGACTAATCTGGAGTCTTTCTGTGCAAAGGATGCTTTCAAAAACAATATGCTGAACATGATATTTCTGAAAATAAGCTACATTCTATGAAACAATTCACATTTTTCCATCATCACCATCCACTTTTAATTGCTCTGGAATCTATATTTCCATATCAGAAAACACAATACGATCAACTGTTGACTTAGAATTAAAGCTATTTCAGTGTTTTCTCTACAGAAGCATCAAGCAGATATGTGCAACTGAAGGAGTGAACTAAACTGGAGGGTTTAACTAGCCTTTAAGCAGCAACTTGAAGGTCACACTCCAAAGTGAGTGCAGCTAGGACACAAAGTGGGTGGGACCAACTAATGTTTTATTATGAAAGATACAAGAGCAATTAAGAGGTTCTGAATATGGAACAGATCATTATTTGGTAGTCTTAAGAATGGATCTTCAGAGATGCATCCATTAAATCACTAGAAACTGTGCTTAACTCAAATGAAATTTACCTCTTTTCAAATAAATTTTAAAAATGTACTTAAGTTTCCTTTTTTTGGCTTCTATTAAGGAAAGCAGCATACACAAAGAAACTTCCAGGTATAGTACAAAATTCTATTGCTACACAACAGTAGTAGTGTTCCTAGGTTTTATGGTGCAACCTGGGGAAAAATAAATCAGTATTTTTCAAGGAGAGTTTTTCATAACTTAGCAAGGCTCTGAAGTGAAAAGGAGTCTAACCTTGAGTGCTTCCATGCCTGCCTGGATCACAGGAGCAAAGACTGTCTCGCTCTCATTTGTTTCTCCAAACATCTCAGGAATCTGGTCCAGCAAGCTAGACAAGGGAATAAAAATTGGTGGTTCAAAAGATTGGACTAGACAGAAGAAATCATCCTTCCCCAATCTGGTGCTCTCAAACTTGGTGAAACTACAACTCCCATAATAAAAATCCAGCTTGTCCATTATGGGACTTAATCTGCAATTAAAGCGTTTAGGAAGGCTGGGAAATTATAAAGATCCATTTTTCCCTTGAAGGCCTCAACATTTTCATTAAACAAAAGGTAAAACAATTATATTTATTTAGATCATCCGCCTTTACAAAACTATATAAAGACCCTTATTTGGCAAGAAAAAAAAATAGGAAGCTCATGCAAAGAACATTTTTACTTGGACTATAATCTATTACGTGAAAAGAAATTACATTTTAAACAGGGCTTGAAACAAAGTACAAAATTTGACAAGTATCTTTCACAACAGTTTTAGGAAAATTATTTATGAACATACATTTTATAATTTAAACAGTGAGTTCAATTGTACTGAACATGTACACACAAATATACAAATCTACCCAACTGCAATATTAGCTACACAATTCCTCAAAAGAATAGGTTGCAATTTGCTTAGGTTGCTAAGAATGAGACTGATAATCTTTTCAAGGTTTAGGTGCCATTACATGATTTTGTGCAATGGCCCAGCCATGCCTCCAAAAGTTTTCCCATTAATTTGGGAGAGTTTGTCCACTAAAAAAAAAAAAAAAAATTAATCTGGGAGGTTTTGTGATGATTGAAATTCTTTCTCGGAGAAACTGTGCGTCATGCTTTTGTAGCTATTGAAATAGTCTACCCATAGAAATATGCATAGTACCATATATGAGCACAAAGATATTAGTTCATGTGACTGCTCTTTATATTGTAAAATATAAAGTTCATATTGTTGGGAGTGCCTGGCTTTTTATACATGTGATCCCTGCTGAGATACTAATATGAGAAACAAATATATAAAATATTTACTTACTTATTAATAACAGACTGTGACTCTTGGAAGTTGACAAGGAAGCCATCCAACAAAGGTACAAACACTTCACTGACATCAGTGACTACCATCATTTGAGGCTGTGCGAGAGTGCTTTTTACATTGAAGAAATGAAGGACTTTATTGTAAGTGACAAATCCAACTCGAATTGTTGAAACTTCTTGTTCCTCCCTTGAAGAGAAATATTTTTAGAAAGCACAGTTGCAGGAAATTGCTTTATACTGTTATTATATTACCTTACTCAAACATTCAGATTTTATCTGAACATGGTAGATAAAAGACTACATCCGCACACACGCAGCTCTTGTTGAGACCTTTCAGTGAATCCATTTCTGGCCGACATAGAAGGTCAGAATCTGGATCTGACTTAGAAGGAATAAATCAGTTATGAAGAACACTGACTGACTTTCAAAGCAAGCATTGGGCTGTAGACACCCAACGTTTTGGTTTTCTAAGAGTAACTATATAAACTATGTATACCTCAGAAGTATTTTTAAGTTTTTTGTTTTAATAAAATTACCTTTAAAAACCCAATTTAGACCGTGTAAGTAGCCTGGTAGACACCAAAGAAATGAACACTGGTACCTCTAGGAACTATCCTGGATGGCTCTTACAACAGTTCCAAGGAACTCCTTTCTTCAGCCCACTTATCTGACTACTTTCGAAACAATGCTCCTACTGAAAAAAATAGCAGTACAATCTCCTTAATTCAAGCTTGACCCCTGGTAGCTTTATGGACAGGGCCATGCAGTTTTCTTGCTCATAATATGGAAGCTATTCGCCTTTAAACATGGGATTTCCTGGTGGCTTCCCACCCAAGTTCTATCCAGATCTAAGCCTGATTAGCTTTTTGAGTTTGGCCAAAGTGAGCTGGATCATGCTAAGCTGGCTCAAGAAAGAGAAAGAGAGACAGAATCCAAACAAATTATAAACATGTGACAAGCCTGATTCTGTTTTTGTTTTATTACATTAAATATCTGCTTGAAACTGAGTGCAAGGGGTTGAAGATGACAACATGGTGTGCATCATTACCGAAGTGAAAGCAGAAGGAACGAAATCAAATAATCTATCCATCAGTCAAGACTTTCACCTATCAGTTGTTTTTAAAATTAAAAAATGTTATTACTTTTGCTGAATATTTATTACACTTTTTTCTTACTTTGGAAGTCTGTTTAGCACAGTTTTTAGTTCTTCACAAATGAGCTTAACAATACCACTTTTTATGTTATTGTATGACACATCAATCATAAAAATATAGGCTGGTGGCCGGGGCAGTTTGTTGTCCTATGAAGAAAGAAAAAACAACAATAGTATTTTCCAAGATTTTCAAACCAACCAGAGATTTCCAAATACTACATTACTACTGCTGCTGCTACTACTATTACAATAATTATAGCTAATTAAAGTGTCACTCTCTGCTGATATTAAGATTCATTTCAGTGAAAGTATTGCAAAATTACAAAATTCAAACACTGTATATTGGGCTAATTTTCTATCAGTAACTTATCTTTCATTTATCATTCTCTGTTCACACTTCTTTGGCATGAAGTTTATAACTATGCAGCTAGTGCATGAAAAATATGATCTAACCAGATGTTGATAAGAATTACCATACAACATGATTTAGTCAATTCAAACTCACTGTGGCATCATTAAAAATCAGGCATACACTTCAAAAATCGCAGTCATCCTGCCAAGCAACTTCCCACCCAGAAGAAAAAGAGGTGGGAGATTTTCATCAGGATGATGGTGCAAGGCAAAAAGATATAAACACCATGATCTGTCCTGGGTGTTGTGATCTCAATGTGGGGGTGCAACATACATGCTTATTTAAAAAGGAAGGTAATTTTCATTGCTTCCCTCTCGCACTTTCCTAATACCACTTCATTTAAGTTACAAGGTACAAGGGACTAAAGGGCAAAAATAATTTTATGAAAGAATCTCTTGTTCCTCCTCCTACAGGTGGAGAGTTCCCATGCAGAACACTGTTCAATATATACACTCACTTTTATATGTACTGCATGTGCACGTATATATGTTCTACACATTCTGGGTTAGTCAAATGTTCTGAAGTTCCACAATTTTTACTTAATTCTAGGAGCTGGATGATGAAGTATCTTATGAACTTAAGATATTAATAATATTAATCAAGAATGTAGGCAGTGTGTTTCTCAGATCTTCCCGAAGAAAACATTCAGCATCGAGACAATTTATGCGAACGTTATTGAGGATAACTGCTCAACTGCTCAGCTGTTCACTGCAAACACTCATAGGTCGCCTTTGCTCCAGGAAGATAAAAATTATAAATGACTTTCCCTCTGCTCCAATTCAGGAATTCTGAATATTCCTTGAAGTCAAATATAAACTTAGAATAGGCTCCCATATTTCCTCTTTCAAACAATCAGCTTGAACTCTAGCATGAGTTAAATGCTTTATAAAAACCACTTCCTGTACCGTAAGTAACTCATAGAAGTCCATTTACACATTCATAAGTTAATTGTTGAAAATAAAGGACAAGTTGATTAGAATGTATCATAGTAGTAATTGCTGAGTAATTGCATCATAAGCTATTAATGTCAATAATGACTGTTTCTTCTCCTTTCAGTCATAAGCATCAGATGCCAGCATAACATCACTCAGAGAAATAAGGGAACTGCAGAAATATATGAGGAGCTTTGAGTTTTAAAAAGCTGTTCTAACTAATCTCCAAACACCACCACAAAACACCTATCTATATATTAAATTCTCCCTAGATATTTATCATCATGGTTAATATTCCTACATATTTATTATCAATAAACACAATAGAAAGTAGTCATTTTCCTCAGATATTGAGGTGGAGAGTTTCAATATCTTCCCCCAAATTATCAATGCTCTACACTAGTGAGAAAGTTTACAATATGAAATGTCAACTATAAAAGGGGTATGGACAGTTCATAATTCAACTTAATTAAGAACATTTTATAAATTAGAAAGAAAAAACTGAATCCTACAAAGCCTTATCCAGAGATCCATGCAAGTTCAAGAGAACACGTAAGTCACAAAATGATAGGTTGGAAGAGAATTTGGAGGTCATCTTGCTCAACCCCTTGCTCAGTGCAGGATCCACTACAACATCTCTAACAGACGACTATCCAGTCTCTATTTGAAGACTTCCAGAAAATGATAACACTCCACCCTGTTCCATTGGTTGACAATTTGGGAATGTCCTGCTGATCTACTTCCTTGTACCTTTAACCCACTGGTCCTGGTCCTGGTCCTGGTCCTGGTCCTGGTCCTGGTCCAGGTCCAGGTCCAGGTCCAGGTCCAGGTCCAGGTCCAGGTCCAGGTCCAGGTCCAGGTCCAGGTCCAGGTCCAGCTACCTGGGGCAAAGAGAATATGGTTACTCTCTCTTCCATGTGACAGGTATGAGAAGGGAGTTGAAGGCTGCTATTGTACCTCCCCTCAGTTGTCCCTTTTATAGGCTAAACATACTCAGATCCTTTAACTATTCCTCATAGGCTGGGCTGGCTTTAAGCTAAGGATAAGTAGACACTGGCCTAGGATTCCAAAACTTAGGGGGCACCAATGCCACCCCTTCTTCCAAATCATTCTAAAAATACAAATCTTCACATCAGCGCAAGGTGGCACCATCAGTCAATGTGGCAGTCGCCATATACTCTTGAGCCAGTAATGCTCAGAGGGCTTTCTTTCCAGACTCCTCACCATCTTGGAAGCCCTACTCTATATTCTTTCCAATTTGTCACAGTCCTGTTTGAAATGTGGTATCCAGAACTGAACACTGAGTAGGGCAGAGTAAAGTGGAACAATTGTTTACATTGATCTGGGCATTATGGTCCTGTTTAAGGCAGCCAACATAGCATTTGCCTTTTACCAGCTGCACCACACTATTGGCTGATGTTAAGTTGTGGTCAAAAAGTAGAACCAGGTCTTTTTCAGATGTGCTTTGAAACATCAGAGATTTCAAGTCAGATCAATGAGGGAACCCTGTTCTTTGGCTTACCAGGTTATCAGGTTAAAGAAATAGTGGCTATATTCGTAAAAAAATGGTAAGCTTGGTTAGTTTTAACCCTGATCAGATTTTATGAGCCTTAGTGACCTGTCTGAACGCAGACAATTTATAGTGATATTCTGTGCAAATACAAAAAATGAACCAATTCAGTAATCATATTAAGCATGTTATGTGAACACATTTATTATATGGCTGTAAAATATGGATTCTGCTCCTCAAAATAAATTTCTTAGGGGGAGAAAAAGGAAAATTCCATTACATTAATGTAACTTACCATATTCATCTTTAAATAAGGTAAAATTAAAGATGGTAAGATAAAATATGGTAAGATTGGATTGCATATTTCATATTACCCTGGGTGTAGATTTTAACCTTAAACAAACAAATAAGGCTGCACATTTTTTACAGATGTAATGAATTCTCTCCGATTTAGCACACATACTACAATTTTTTTCCATGATGAATCAGACTTACCTTGCAATAATCTAAAGTAGCAACATACTCATATGATCCAAGTGACAGTTCCGGTCTTTCATAGTGGTCTATTCTTCTACCAATGTGATCCAGATGTTGAAAATAGAATGGAGGAACTAAAAAAAAGGGGGGGGGATTATTTATCTCCTTTTGTTCCACACAAATGACTATGCAAAATCTTACACTGCATTGTTCTGAAAATGAAAATACCTGATGCGTAACAGATTTTATATAAAAGGAGCAACATTGCAAGAGACGTGAGTAGCTCTTTTTCTAGCTCTTTAAATTGGTTTTGCATTACAACCATTATTGGCGAAGATGAAACCACTTGTAATATAAGTTTACATTTCCAGTCAAATCTCTTCATCTTGAACAGACTTCTTTTACTTGTCTCATCCCTATTCCTTCTGTCAATCTAATCGCACACCTTTTCAGTTGTAGGATTTAGGAGAGTTTCATCCTGTTAATATGCCGTCTGCCTATGGGATGCACAAGCAAACCCATACCTTTGATGTTATTCCTCTTCATATTCTGTTTTTCCTCTGACCACTTACATGAAGTCTCTTACTGGCTACTTCAGTATTTGCATGTTACCTACTTGCAATAGCCAATGCAGCAGTTTTCAATATGGAAGTTGCATTTCCTTAGGTAAATGCTAAACGGCAAACAGAAGGAAGAAGAAAAGAAGTGAGGTGGACTTGGATTGCCTCTAAAGGTTTTGGAAAAGGACTGATCCTGCACCTCAAAAGAACCCAAGAGTTTTTGTTCTTCTGGGGGGGGGGGGGGGGAAGCAAAGAGGTGCTACCTCTATGTTTTTGCTCATCTAGTGCAATTAGAGTTTAAGAATTTGAAAAGAAAAAGGGCTTTCCTTAGACCTGTCCTTGAGGAAAAGCAGTTTGCTGGAGGTAGATAGCAATTAAAAAAAAATGGCACACCTTCCAAGATGTAAAAATGTGATGGAACAATACATCTTACATTGTATTACTTCATAGAGGTAAGTAACACAGATAAGTAACGTTTGTGAAAATGCAGCCGCTCTCAGACCTCAAACAACTGTTTGCTGTAGAAACCTGTGACCTCCTCTGACATTCATACAATACACATTTGTGTACGATCTATCCTCCTGTTATGAACCCAGAAAATACTAGGCCATGCAGTGTTTCAGATTTAATTCAGGACCGTACCTTGAAAATTGTGAGAGTACAAAAGCATCACCTCTATCTGACTCCTTCAAGCAACAAGTTTTTGTAGAAACAGTTAGCTGCTGAAGGGGAGGCTACTGCAATCCTGGAAATACATTCACTATTATTTGACTATGACCATCATCTCCACAAGACCGGACATTGTTCTTTTAACTTCTGCTTATGATGAAACCAACAGTGCAAAAAAGAGGACAATGAAAAGAACACTGCAGGCATGCAAACCATTCTAGTTAAATGGCAATATTGGTCTAAATGTTTGATAGCTCACTGCTATATACATGTGTGAGAACTTTCTGCTGAATAAACAGTCCCTGCAGCCAACTGTCTTCTCTTTCTTTACACAGATTAAGCGTGGAGGCAAATAAAAGTTGGCAGAAGTCTTTCAAGGTTCATGTTGCACAGTTGAAAAGATTACTGTATTAGGGAAAGCTCTGTGCTGCTTCGATCCAGCTGAGGAAATCCAACTAGATGCAAGCATCTTGAAAGATGCATTCTGGCAAAGCCTTGGGACTCAGCCAGGAGCTCAGGAACTTGTATTTATGAGTCACATGCAGTTGTACTTGGACAAATATGGCATGGCATCTCCTGTTCAAAGCAACTCCAGTCACAGTAAAATTAATGGATGACTTAACCATGGGAGTCCTCTGTCTTAAAGGGAGGCAAGGCACCTTAATATTTGTTCTTTTCTAAATGGTTCAAAATGCATTTCAATCTATATAGAAAACAGTTTCATTCAATAATAAATACCTTTCTTTGCCTGCCTCCCTACTTTACTGAAATCACCCGTGGGGTATCAATTGACAGCGGTCCTATTATTTTACAGAAGTGATCTTTCAGAAAAATTCAGGTACTTTTCTAAAAAGAACAGATTGACTGTTCTTGTTGTTCATTCTTGTTGCGCATACACAGTACATGTATCTGTATATCTTAGGGAAAGCCTCTGATTCTTTTCTCTGCATGTCAAAATGGAACATTCTGTTTGTATATGGAAGCAACAGCACTTTCTTAATACGAAGGTTTCTAGCTTATCTTCAGTTGTTATTCTAACCTTGTAGAAAACAAAAGCTATGCTATTTGGTGTTCTTTCTATTCAATATATTCCACATAATTCCTAAAGCAAAGATTGAATGACTGTATTGCACATTTACAGTATGGCTGCCAGGGTAACACAAGGCTTTGAAAAGTCGACCTCCAATCAGGCAGAACATGAAGGTCCATGCTGAAATGTTTCCAATGGACAAATTCAAAATTTCAGTTCATGTGAAGTGAAATGTTTAAGGAAAATACCAATTCATCCTGGCATGATGCAGTTTCTTACTTATTTGAAAA